AATCAGAAAAGGGATCTTGGAGTTATCGTGGACAGTTCTCTGAAAACTTCCACACAGAGTGCAGCGGAGGTCAAAAAGGCAAATAAGATGCTAGGAATTATTAGGAAAGGGATAGAAAATAAGACCCAGAATATCTTACTGCCCCTGTATAAAACTATGGTACGCCCACATCTTGAATACTGTGTACAGATGTGGTCTCCTCACCTCAAAAAAGATATTTTGGCCTTGGAAAGGGTTCAGAAAAGGGCAACTAAAATGATTAGGGGTTTGGAACGGGTCCCATATGAGGAGAGGTTAAAGCGACTGGGACTTTTCAGTTTAGAAAAGGTTACAAGCCCCACATCTGGGGCTGAAGCCCTTAGGCTTTGGTTTTGCTCACTCCTCTCCAGACCAGGGTAGTGGGGTGCAGTGTTTGGATATATTCCCCTCCCTACCCAGGGTGGCAGAGTTCAGGCAGGCTCAGGCTATGGTCCACTCTCCTGGAGTCATGTAATAATTTTAGTTGTCACAAGGGGGGGGTCACAGTGCAATGAAGTTTGAGAGCCCCAGATCTATTTGGCATGCATGGTGCTCTGATACTCTAGTTATAGGCAGGCAACACAATACCCACAGGCAGAGTGAAATGGACCTCATTAGCTTGTTTGTGTCATAATGACTGCTCCCCACTTGCCATGTTCTGTTTCCTCCTTTACAACTACATCATTAACATATTTCAAACCCACCTGAACAGAGAGTGCTAAACTTTAAAACAGACACCAAAAACCAGATGCTTAAAAAAAAAAGCAGCACAGAATATGCAGGGAAAAAATAACTCCAGGGGCTTGATCCAGCTTCTCTTGACAGGTGAAAGTGAGTGCCTGAGAGTAATTAATCAATGTGAACTTTCCAAATGTATCATCGTTAAAACACACCTGTGCCAAACAACTTTGTGCTGATCCTGCTAAAAATGTGCCGTGTGTTCGTTAGCCATGAATATTTCTTATGCCTCATCTGCGGGAGGGTGGAGCGGGTAAGGCCAGGAAGTGTGGGTTGCTCTGATTCATGCTGAGCGACTGCTGTATAACCTTGGCTAAAGATCTAATACGTAGTTGTTCTCTTTTTTTCAATCTAAGTTTTCAGTGTGAATGGGGGCTATACATGAGCAGTGCTGCTCTTCCCCCAGCCTTGGGTACCTCTCTGTTTCTGCAAGTGGATTTTAAAAAGAGTTTGATAGAAGGTAGTTTGACATGGTGTAGTGTAGTCACAGCCAAAATTTAATTTTGATCCACTCTGCAATCTGGCCCAATTCCAATGACTATCTCAAGTCATTTAGCTAGATAACTATGGGGAACTCTGTGGGCTAAATACCTCGGCACTTGACCATAGATTAGGTAGCAGTGGCCTGGACCTTCCCAGTGACTGTGTGAAGTTGTATCAATGGTTGTGGTGGATGCTTGGGAGGCACGTGCCCAGATGTGTTACCAATTTTGGTTGGACATATTCCTGCAGGGTTCATCACCTGCCATCATCTTTAATTAAAGATTCATCTTGGAGATTCCAGGATAATCCTGGAGGGTGGGCATCCCTGTGCAGGCTTCTCACAAGCAGTTATTGGAGACAGCTTCTCCCCTCTATCTGACTGTGGCCTTAAAAGTCCTCTTTTGTTTATTGTTGGTATTCAGAGCTATGCCCAGTGCCAAGATTTCTTTAGTATAGGGCCTTGTCTGTGGGACTTATGAACTGGCAAAGGTAGCCAGAGTCCAAGTATGGCAATATTCAGTTATTAGCATCAAAGTTTCTGGTTTGTTTGTTTAATCAAGCCTATAATCTAATGTATTTTGTTTTATTTTTTGGTTGCCAGCCAAGATTGAGAGTTCCTGGGCATATGGTGAGGCACCGATTCACTGATTTTATTGTTAAGCTACAGGCTGACTCAGATATTTTGCAATTGTTTTATGAAATGTAAGATATGCTAGGGTATGAATATCTGATAAAATCTAGATGCTGCATCAGCAGCATACATAGTTCATAAAATAACGTTTCTGTATCAAGTGGCATATTCCAAAGCAAGACTGTTTTAGCATGTAGAAATGTTAAAGTTGAAATATCCCCACAATGCTCATGGTCAGGGATTTATAGGGTCTGTGAAATCCTGCAGAGTATCCAGGAAAATCAGCATTACGAATTACAATACACTTTTCCCACAGGTGCTGCACTTTTCAGCTCTCTCGACTGTAGCTTATTTGTTGGAAATGGGTACATTAGATTTTCAATTTCTGAGAGTCAGCAGTAATTTTGGGTGCTTGCAATTTTGTAAGATTGTCAAAATAAAATATCAGAATTTTAAGCATATAAAGTTGCACTTTTGAATATCTCCAGCCACCTGGCACCAGCAGTAGTAGCAGCTGAAATACAAGGAGCTGCTGCTGCTGCTAAAAAAACAACCAGAGCAATTAACAGTGTAATGTGAACAATGCTGAGAATTTCATACACAGTTTGACAGCACCAGTGCTCTCCTTTGAATGGCAGCTTGTGGTATCATAGACCTTGTTTATAAACTACCCAGTACCATAATATAAAGAAGGACAGGGAGTAATGGATGAATCCCAAAAGTGTTCGGGCACGACTTCACTCGCTGCACCAGAGATTGATGTCCTGCTGTTCGATTTAGCAGGTCTAGTATAGACCCGTAAATAGAATGCTGAGAGCAGCTCCGGCCAGCGCCTGTACTCTTCGCAGTTGTGAGGAGTAAGGGAAACTGACGGGGGTGTTTGCTCCCATCGGCCTTCCATTGTGGAGGTGCTGCCAAGCTCGGCTTAAGGTAAGCTGACTCCAGCAACATGAAATAAGTAGAAGACATGCCTAGCACTTTTGAGGTTCATTCATTACTCCCTGTCCTTGCTTATATTATGGTACTTGGAGCTGCATACCTTAACCTGACCTTCCAGGTCTGGCGTAGACCTGGCCTTAGAAAAGAACAGGTGTCCCAGAGGTGGATGGAGTAGGAGGGTTCTTTATTGCAAATACTCATTCTGTCGTGGACCCCCCAAACTATGGATCTGAGTGAGTAACCAATTAACCACAGGTACACCTTTTTATCTTAGTATGTAAATACACTTACTAATTACATCATCCCTTAAGCCCTAATTTACTAATGTGAACACACATATAATGCATAATCATAACCATGTGATTAATATACTTATACCCACTTCTGTTTAATGTTTACAGCTTTTTAGCTGAAGCAAACAGTTTTGCATTATAAACTTTGGCTGTGTCTAGACTGGCAAGTTTTTCCTCAAAATCATCTGCTTTTGCTGAAAAACTTGCCATCTGTCTACACTGGCCGCTTGAATTTCCGCAAGAACTCTGACGATCTCATGTAAAATCATCAGTGTTCTTGCGGAAATACTATTCTGCTCCCGTTCGGGCAAAAGCCCTCTTGTGCAAATCATTTGCACAAGAGGGCCAGTGTAGACAGCATAGTACTGTTTTGCGCAAAAAAGCCTCGATGGCTAAAATGGCGATCGGGACTTTTTTGCGCAAAAGTGCGTCTAGATTGGCACAGATGCTTTTCCACAAAAAGTGCTTTTGCGGAAAAGCGTCCGTGCCAATCTAGACACTCTTTTTCGAAAATGCTTTTAACGGAAAACTTTTCCGTTAATAGCATTTCCGGAAAATCATGCCAGTGTAGACATAGCCTTCTTGAATCAGCAACTTATTGTGGGAGCTGGGGGGAAGGAGCTGTGACCCTGAATATGTTTCAGAGTGGGTGGGAAGGAATGAGGGGAGGAAGATTACATAGAGATATAGACAAAATATTCATTAGAAGTTATATCCTTGGTACAGCTACATGCTTATCTATCCTGAGCAAGCAGGAAAGGAGGAAAACATGTCTTTAAATCAATAGGATCAGTGCCTGCTCATGCTATACCCCCATCGCCATTGTAGCGAGTAGTCAGACCCCTTATTTTATTCCTATACACCCCAACAAAGAGGTTAAAAGGTGAGGAGCCATATTAACCCATACAGGTGCCATGAGGTGTAACTGATACCTCCATCTGCCAGTTGGTCTGATACCCCAGAGGCCATTCACCCTGAGAGAGGGCAGGAAGTATTTAATTCACACCGGGAGATTCCTTTGCAAGTTCCCACAATTCTTTGGAAATGTTCACAATATTTACTATTTATTTTTAAAACCTCAGCTCTTAGAGCCAAGTGCTGTGTAAGAATCTCAATCTTCCATAAAGCTAAGCTTCTAACTCTCTGGTTTCTAACAAAGTCTTGGAAACGTGAGCGCTAAAATCTCAAAACCCTGAAGGGAACATTTTCCCCAAACATACTGTTTTTTAAAAAGTCACAATTTTTCAGTCTTTGGGGCACCTCACTCCTCATTAAACCTTGGGTTGGAAATGTTGGATTCCGTTAGCGCTCCAATGGTGGAATTTCTAAGCAAAGGCTATGAATTAAAGCCCTGATATTCTGATCTCAGTGGTTAAGAGACCAAAACAGCAACCAGCATTACCCAAAAATGCTACAGTAGTGTAACTTCATTGTTTCATTTACTATGAACCCTCTATTCATATTTAAATAGTATGATGGAGAAATATTTAGTGGGTGTGTATGTAAATATGTATATAATATTGTATTATTCTCAAAGAAAAAAGACTGACCAAATATTATTGTCTTATCAGCAACAAATGTTTAGTAACATAGTAAATGCACCCAGATAGGCTAATAACTTAGATTGGTTAATAATTAAATCACTGGGTGTGCTGTAAAGTGCCTCAGGAGACACATTAAAGAGTCACTTGTGAGCCTCAATCTGGGTATCACTCAATTAATGTATCTCCATGCCACTCTGTTCATACTCCTCTTTGGTTTGTGTTGCCCATGTTTTGTCATATTGGATGAGGTGCAATGGTGCAAGTCTTGGTTTTCATTTGTGCACTATATCTATATTGTGGATTTGCATTAGTGTATCTACTTTAGAGTAAGACATTCAAGGGCTAAAGGGCAGGTTTATTTAGTACTTTGTTTGGTCCAGATAAGAATACATACATTCAAATTCTTAGCAAAACTAGCCAGGCCTCTTGGGTCTACAGGACCAGTCCAGAAATCCTGAGTGTGTCAGCCACCTTCTTCTTCTTGCTGGGCCAGAAATAGCAGAAAAATCAGTACACTTGGTATCTGAAGATTTCACTTTGATTGTTGGTAGAACCAGGAGGTTCAGAGGACTGAAAAGAAAAAAAAAGGTGAAAGGTCTTGAACATTGACCAAGGAACCTGACTGAAAGAAGATGCTTCCACATGTCCCAGTACCTCACTATATGGTCACTAGACTTGTGAGTAGACATACTTGATGAGTCCCCTATGTTTCCAAGCCAACTGAGTCTGTGTAGAGTCCAGCCTTGTTTCTAGCTCTAGACACACTGCCAGGTTCAGATTCTTAATTGATGCCCTTCCTTAGATGCGGTTTACCACTGTCCAGCCACTCTAGATCCCCAAACCAGTGTCTGAGACTGAGTCCCCCAGTTGCTTATACATGGTTCCACATAGGCTGTGGATTCTCTGGGGTGTGAGTGTAACCCCTTTGGGGACAATGCAATGGTACAGCAAAGAACACAGGCATTGACAAGGACATTCTTGCCCATGTTGACTTTAGTCCGAAAGCACTTGAAGAGGTAAAGATTTCTGAATGTAACACAAGACTCAAGATGTGCTCGCCCCTCATCTGAGTTCATCCTTTCTGTGGGTCCATGGTTTGTCAGAGCAATTCATACTGGGCAGAGTCTGTTCTACCGCTTCCCTCCAGTCCTGCTTATTTGTGGTGATGGTCACATGAGTGGTCTCTCCCCACCACAGAACAGAGCCCTGTTTTTAAATCTGGCCTTTCATTTCCGAGCCATGTGGTCACACTGAGAAGTCCAGATCCACCCGTCATACCTGCCCCCTTTGCAGATCCCTGAGAGCAGAAAGACTTGTTCCATGGGACTGGGTCAGTAGTTGAGAGAATCAAAGGTGATGACTCTAGATTGCATTCTTGATGGCTCTGAGTTCTAGACCTTCAACAAGATGCCAAGCAGGGCAGCTGTCTGATAAGCAGCATAATAGGCTTACCCCATGGCAAATTCAGACTAGTACTCAGTGCACAGTACAAAACCAAATGTGAGTCAGGCTTATCCTGCTCTGTCACACAAGCAAATCAGTGTTGTCCCTAAAGCTTTGCTGCACTTGCCTTTGCTTCACCCTAGAACTTCCTCGTAGGATCTTGCTTCTTCAAGGCCAGGATAAGACATGATGAGGCCCTAAGCTATGTCAAGTTTAAGAAGCCCCATAACATTACCAAAAATTGTGTATTATTCTAATAGAAAGGACAATGAAAATAGAAATAATAACGTTTTAATTTGCATATATACTGGTACATAGGCAAGGATGCAATTAAAAACTAGCAATTTTATTTCTGTATTTAGAGGTGTAACCTGAGGTCCCTGAGATGTATCTTACTTAGCTTGTGCATAAATCTGGCACTGCCCTTCTGCCTAGCTTCTGGTTACAGTTTGAAAATATGGACACATTGGCAGCCTCCATTTTGTAAAATAAACCTCTTCCAAGAAGTCAGTCACTTAGAGCTGGGGCTTTAAAGGCCTCTTTTAGCAGTCCTTATTTCACAGATAAACATTTTTTATGAAAGCAAAAGTTATTTTATTAAAACACATTTTCTCCAAAGAGGAGGGAATTGAGACACCATCTGTCCTGCTCTTGGCTCCCATCCAGCGCCTTCAGACGAAAGCCAAATTAACAGCAGCATTCCGCCCCCTCAGTTCTCAATCTGAGCCTTGCACAGACTCTTTGGGAGAAAATACCGCCTCTGCAAAGACATCTAAAAGATTATTTTTTTAAAGTGTATAACTAGAATAGTTAATTCACAGGCCTTTATGAATTTCTACTTCACCTAATATTTTTATCTGCTCAATTTAAAGGTATCTTAGGGTTTTACACAACCACCCATTGCTGGAGTATCTTAGCACCATCTATATAAAATCAATAACAATAGGGAAGATCCCCCACAGACTTCTTGAAGTCTCTGGGTCTCCTCACTGTTTGGGTATATAAAACAGAATTCTCCTTGGTTTTTGTATGGTTAATTTGTATTGTTTTGAGGTATTATTTGGTTGGCTGGGGGTATCAGAGGAGTTTCAGGGCTTTTATGAAGAAAGGTTTTGTGGCATTTCTTACCGTCAGACTCTGGATTCTCCTAATTCTCTCTGGAGGTTTAGTTTTCATAGAGACCAGCACTGTATCTCAGCACTTTGGTCTAGGCCTTGGGATCAGCATCCACAGAAGTGCAATTGTCTAGGTGGTTAATAGATTTCATACAGTCTTCAGTGTAGCAGGGACTTCATCTGCTAATTGCCTTGAAGATTAGATCCAAAATCTTGACCAGAATGTGAAAGTGATCTTTGAGATAAGACCTAGCCACAAAATACTATCCTCTCCTTTTGAGGAAGTTTTTAATACCTGAAAGGATATAGATGAACAATATATCCAAATTAGTTCTTCTGGCTTAAATAAAAAGGTGTTGTTTTTAAAGGGCCTTAATCATACTAAGACCATACTGGTTCTCAAAGTGTGGCCTGTGACCATCTCAGGTGGGTCATGGGCTCGGAGCTTGTGGAGAGCGTGTTCCAGTGCTCAATCCCTGCAGCCCCCCCCTTTCATGTGGTTGGAGCACCAGTGTTGGCTTCCTGCTGTTGAGGGATGGGGTGAGCCTCATAGGCTAGCTCATGGTGGGGAGGAAGCGGCTCCATGCACTGCCACTGCTGCTCCTCTTCCCCTTGGTGGCTGAAGGAATGGCAGTGCAAGGAACCGCTCACCTGGAGGCTTTTTCCACTGTTCCCTGTGGCTGGAATTTCAGCCAATAGGAGCATCAGGGGCGGTGCCTGGGACCGGTGGGAACAGCCAGACCCCTACCCCATCTCCCTCACACACCCCCTTATCTGACCAGACCCTTCCCCCCAGCCCGCTCCTGCACCTACCTGCTCCTACCTCTCACACAGATTTCACCATCCTACCTCCTTCTTCACCCATTTTGTCATCATGGGTATTTGAGTGGTGATCCACAGAAAGGTTTGCGTTGAGCAGAGTGGGCGATGGGCCAAAAAGTTTGAGAAGCACTGTACTAAGAGATGAAATAATTCCTCCACCTCTGGATTTTCTTTTTCTTTTTTTTTTTTTAAATCCCTGGGCCTGAGTCTGTGGTGAATAGATTTGAGGGAGCAGGAGAGAGCTAACATTTGGGTAGTGGTATCAGTGGACATCCAGGTTTGGGTGATGCTGTGTAGGCAAGGTGCCGATGGTAAGATTTATGGATGGTGTAGCGGCTTATCAAGCACATAACTTTCATTGGTCAGTATAAAGTTGAGGTTCTGATGTCTATTTGCTGAATGTAACACATTGGCTGCTTCTGCTTGTGACCACCGTTCCAAACGCTGTCTGGCATTTCCTAAGGTTTATTTCTTCCTGTTCTAAGTTATAGAGGGACACCTATGGGTGGTCAATATTACTGGTAGTGCTGATGGGCTGGGGGTGCTTTGGGTACACAGACAGGACCATAACTACTCAACAATCACAGCAGACTGAATTAAGAATAGTTGTTTTTGACAGTGCATCAGTTGCCCAGGTAATAGCAAGTGTGCTCAACACCATGGACAGTGTTCTGTGGAGAGCATGGAAAGTGGAGTAACAGGTCAGAGGCATTTGGGGAAATAGTGGGATAGGCTGCTTGCATCTGGAGGTGATACTGGCTCCTCTTTTCTTACTGGTGGGAGTGGATGGGTAGCAGAGGATAGGGAGGGGTGCTGCTTCCAGTGTTCAGGTTCAAAACTCTCCTACTTCAGAAGTGTTGGGAGGGAGCTAGGGAGGCAGTGTGCCTCTGGATATCTGCTAGAAGGAGGGTTGGTCTGTCTGCTTTATTCTCTACATTCTATAGATCTCTGCACATATTTCATCCCAGCCTCAACCTCTTCAGATATGGTTCTGCCCTGACAAGTAACTCTGCAGGAGCGGGAATGTGGGGTTCCACATGTATTATGTCTCCACGAGTCAGATCAGATTAAGCTTTTAAAAGTAAAAATATGGCTTTTAAACTCAGCCTGGCATCTCCAAGACAAGGTGAGTTGCTTCCTTCCTGTGTCCCATCCCCAGAAATAAAGATGCTGCTCCAGGAAATTCTGCAACAGCTCTGCTGATGATATATGAACCAAACCAGAATAGAATCACAGTCTCTCTCCATGGCTGTATCTTCTCTGGAGTGCTCAAGGGCTGGGGTTAAGTACAAAATAGTAAAAACGTAGTTTTATAAAAATGACTACTAAGTACAAGTCAAAACTTATTTAATTATTCAGATTGCTTGAGAAGAGATATATGGGAGCACTGTGGAATTGGGAAGTGCAATTGCCGATTTACCTATTCATTTTTTATCCTAATTACACCTTCATGATCTGCCTAGCAGTAACTATTGCACCATGTGACATGTTGGTTAATCAGTGTTACTTTCCGTAAGAGCTCCCATCTAAAATAGTGCTGCAGAATTTCCTATGGTAGCAGTCTGACAGTCTTTCTTTACTGTCAAAAATAAGTCTTTTAAGCACCAAAGAAAGATTGACTGGAGTAAATGCTGATTGTGTCCCCAACAAATGTCCTAATGAGGCACGTTCATAAGACCATCTCAGCTTATCAGGGCTTTGGGACTTCTAATATTTGGTCTTATTTCTTACCAAATTGGGAAAACTGGAAAGTTGCATTTGTCTTCAACCCCTGCCAGAAAGATAAAAAATGCTATGTATAAAAAAAATGTATAAAAACTGCTGAAGAGTTCCAGAGTACAACTTCTACTATGGTGTAAAAGTACTATAGTATTATCTAGTAATAGTCTTAAAGTCCATAGCTTGGAATGCTATGCATAATACAGTTACAATAATCTCCTCTAGAGCTGGTAAAGGCAAGGAATTCAGAGGCTATAGAGGAAATGAGTTAACTATTTACCTTGCTGCATTTTTAATATACAGTATGAATAACAAAAAGCCTTGTAAATACTGTAGTTAGATATTCTGCAAACACAATAAATAAGGACTTATATGCTTAGGAAACAACTTATTTGTATTGCTGAAAGCTGACAAACATTGCAAATATTTATGCTGCAACCACAACTTTAATAAGTGTAACCGGCACAATGATCATTTTGAAACTCTGTGAATGATCCAAAACTGCAAAGTATAAACTCATAGGTAATTCCAGTTCAGTACAACTCTTAAAATTCAATACAATTTAATATTTGAAAATTACTGTTTCACACTTAAGGTTTTTTATTGTCTATTTTTTGGGTTCAATCTGCACTTCTCCTCAAGTAACACTCCTAGAGTACATCTATACAGCAGCGTTATTTTGAAATAACACAGTGTGTGTCTACACAACAAGACATTATTTTGAAATAATGTTGAGATGGAGGACTTCTTACTCTGACTTCTGTAACCCTCATTTCACAAGGAGTAAGGGACGTTGAAGGAAAACTGTTCTTCCTTCGACTTCCTGCTGTGTAGACAGCGCCAAAAGCCAAATTAAGCTATTTCGACTTTGGCCATGCAATTGATGTAGCTGAAGTTGTGTATCTTAATTTAACTTTTTCCCTGCTGTGTAGGCATATTCCCAGTGATACTAATTTAATTTGATCTCAAGAAAAAGGGACTATCGCAAACTACCTAAATAAAATATTTTAAATCCTTGAAATAGCAGCCACTTATATGTAGGATTTCAAAGGATAAATGATAGAGTACATTCCTTTTCATTCCAATCAAATATCAAAATACACAAATTAGCAGCTCTTTCCTGCATTCATCACTCAAGGAAAACTCTCCATGTTGCCAGCAGGTGTTTTCCATGAGTAAAAAGTGAAGGACAGGGTCCCTAACGTCAATACTTTGATTATCCTTCTTGGATCTGATCCTGAGATGGACTTAGGAACTGCGGGGTGAGGATGGGGGTTGGGAAACAGCCACACTGGGCCCTTGGGCAAGTTGGGAGGGACTGGCTCCGTGTTCCTGGAAGGGGTGGGGACTTGGGCATAAGGCGGGGGGGAGGGGGGGGGGAAGAGAGGAAGGGGCTGGAGCAGCCAGTCCTCAGTGCCATCTGGGGTGCGCCACTAGGTGCTCCAGTGGTGATTTAAAGGGTATGGGGCTTCAGGCACCGCTGCTGCAGTAGTAGCAGCAATGGCAGGGTGCCCCAGACCCTTTTTAGCTGGGCCCCAGGGCCGTTGCCCGCTTTAGGCCCCCTCGTCAGGCTGAGCACCTGCAACTCTGATTTACCTCAGAAGGAATTGTGGGTGCTTAGCAGCCATTAGTATCCACATTTTCAAAGGAAAAGGCAAGGAGAAATGTTATTCAGTCAATGTGTTGTATACCTGCAGTTAGATAGTTGCAATGTTCACTGTAGAAAGGCACAGGAACAAAGTGTGTGTGTGTGTGTGTGTGTGTGTGTGCGCGCGCGCTGGTGTGTGTGTGTGTGTGTGTGTGTGCGCGCGCTGGTGTGTGTGTGTGTGTGTGTGTGTGCGTGCGCGCGCCTTGTCAGTAAATCCTGTTTGGTTTAGCCTGTCTTGTGTGGCTCCCCATTTCTTTGAGTAGCCTAAACTGAAACAATACCTGTGTCCAAAGTATAAGCAAGCTAACAATGGCTTTCACATGGAATAATGTAAGCAATGTGCTGGGAATTTTGAAACTGAAAGCACTGCAGAGAATTGGACTAGGTGGAACAAGTTGGGAGTTATCTGGGGCAGATAAATGGGCTGCAGCTCAGAAAACTGCTCAATGTCTAATGTGTTTTGGGCATAAAGGTAGCAATATCTACAGAGCATGGGTCTCTAATGGCGAGCTCTCAGAAGCAGATAGGCCACAAAGAGCTCATATAGCCTATGGTTTTCCAATGAGAAACACCTCCATGCAAAGGAAAATTTTCTGAGAGAGAAATAAGGGACCTTCTAAAACAACTGATAAGCGAGTGACCCCCACAACAGTTGATAATAAAAGCCTGTGCGTCCACAAATGGGGATGACATGCTGAAGAATAGAATCATAATGGGATCAAACTCAAAAGAAATACCAGAAAAACTACTAATGGAGGAGAATTTAACAGTAAAAAAGCCATTAGAATAGCCAGTCACAACAGACATGCAAAGAGCAAATGAAATACATGATGTGCACATAATAAAGGGAGCACCAGCAGGGCACCCGCCTCATGCAGCAATTAAAAGGGAAGTGTACAATAAAGGCATAGGAACAGTGGGTTTGTAACAGATGTGCATTGCATCATGCAAAGCAAAAAGAATGCCCATCTGTAGGGAAGATATGCACAAAGTACTACAAAGCAAACCATTTTGCAAAAGCATGCAACACAGGCAACCAGAAAAGTGCAGGATATGTAGTGGATGTAACTGAAGGAGGAGTGGCATTTCACAACAATGACACAGCATTCTTTTTGGCTATGTAGGGGGGCAGAGTGGCTGCCCACGGACCTGGAGGAGGAAGAACCCCTCTGGCCACCATGTTGGGCTGAAGCTGACCCTGCCCAGACACCTGGAGGTGGGGCCCAAGCTATAAAAGCCCAGCCAGCAGACCCAGTCAGGGCTGAGCCTGCAAAGGGACCAGAGGCGTGCTCAGGGCTTCTGGCCTGGGAGGCTGGAACTGAGGCCTGGCTAGGGCCTCCTACCTTCCTGGGGCCAGAGGCCAACTACCTGCTTCCTGCATGGGAGGCTGAGGCCTGGCCCAGCCTGCCTACATTCGCCGACCTAGCAGAAAACCCAGAGGGCCAGCCTGATCCCATGCTCCAGCCCCTGCCCAGGTACCGGGAGAAGCAGTTGCTGCTGCCAAGACCAGATGCTCGGCCCAGGACTCCGACAGAGCCTGACCCTGAGGCCTGGCCCAGACGCCTGACGCTGCCTGTACCAAGAGCCCAGCTGAGCCCCACAGACCTGCGAGCCACAGAGGACTGGGCTGGACTGCTGGGACCCCAGTGGGATGAACCTGCCATGGACTCCATGAGCACCCAGCCAGGAGGCCAGGTACCAGCTGAGGGGGAGACGGAAAATATCCCAGGGCTTAGTGGTGGTTGTTAAAGGCCCCAAGGCTGGCGAGTTTTGGGCTGGAGACCCCACTGAGCCTATAGCAGCCTGCACTGCTGCTCCTAGGGGCCTGGGCCGGGGCCCAGTGGAGTGGGTGGGCCTGCGCCCCCCCGCCACCCACCTACCGGGTGGCTGCCTCCCCACCTCCGTGCCACCGTCACAGGTGATTGGCCTGCACCCCTTCTGAACAAGGAGCCCCAAACTTGTGTTTGCTTGTGGCCACACCCTGAACCAGGACCTGGTCTCCCATTGAACTAGACTGTAGTTGTTTGTTGCCCCACCCTGACTGAGGGCCAGAGCCTCCCAATCTTACTGTGACTGTTTGTTTGCGGCCACGCCCTAAACCAGGGCCTGGCCTCCCTGCTGAATGGAACTGGGTTTGTTTGTTGCCACGCCCTGAACCAAGGGCCTGGCCCATGTATAAACTTACTGTGTTTGTTTGCTGCCATGCCCTGAACCAGGGCCTGGCATATCAGTAAGACTAAGTCGGAGTTGCCCATTGCCACTCCCTGAACCAGGGCTTGGCCTATCCTCAAACGGGGCTTTGTGGACTTGCGGCCCACCCTGGAACCAGGGCTGGGCCTATGTAGATACATAGACTTGGTTGTGTGCTGCCCACCTGAAGGAAGGCCGGGCATGAACTTGGGCTTGCCTTAAAGGGATAGTGTAGTGGGGCGGAGTGGCTGCCCACGGACACAGAAGAAGAGGAACCCCTCCAGGAAGGCAGGCAAGCCAGCTACAGCTAGAATACAGAATGAGGAAAATGATAGCAATGAAGCATAATGAACTATGCTAATGGGTCCAGAAGGCATACCCCACAAAATTGAAAATCGACACTGGGTCTCAGATATCCTGCGCCCCCGAGACAAAATTTATGCAAAGGCTAGTTCATCGTATGACCTATCACTTGTATCAGTGTGACTAGCAGAATATGGAGGGTGTCCATTTCACACAGTGGGGAAAATGCAGTGTTAAATGCTGATACAAAAGAAGCATAGAACTGGAAGGGGACTGACAGCTTTAAAATAATTAAATGTAATAAAAATCCTACTCACAGCGGAATCCATAAAAGCACATCTCACAGCAGAGGGAATTTAGAAAAGATTTCCTGACATGTTTGAAGGCACTGGATGTCTACTAGGCTATTGTAAAATCAAGCCATCTATAAATGCAGCCCCAGCAGCATAAGCAGTGTGATGACTGACATTAAGGCCCATAGTGGAGATGGAATTCTGGTGTATGGAATTATGGATGTAACTGGAAAGATGGAGGAACCATTGGAATGGGTTAGTTTGATGGTTTGCAGTAGAAAAGAAGACTACTGGAGCACTCTGGGGCTGTGTCTCACTAGCACAATCTTGTGCCAAAGTGGCCGCTCTTGTGCAAAAACTTGCTGCCTGTCTACACTGGCTGGGTGTTCTTGTGCAAGTAAACTGACGTTCTACTGTATGAAATCAGGGCTTCTTGCACAAGAACTATGATGCTCCCGCTCAGGAATAAGCCCTCTTGTGCAACTGTTCTTGCACAAGAGGCCAGTGTAGACAGGCAAAATGAATTTCTTGCGCAAGGAAGCCCAATGGTTAAAATGTCCATAAGAGCTTTCATGCGCAAGAGAGCATCTGCACTGGCATGGATGCTCTTGTGCACAAGCACATCTCTTGTGCAAAAGCACATGCCAGTGTAAACGCTCTCTTCTGGAAGAGTTTTTGCACAAGAGCTCTTCCGCAAAAGTGTTGTTGCGCAAGAAGCTGCCAGTGTAGATGTAGCCTGTGTGTACAAAGACGTTCAAGACCTAAAGAAAGCAATAATGTGTGATATAATTTACAGGCTATCTGTCTAATCCACACACCTAGAGTGCATCTAGAGTACAGGGTATTTTAGAAAAACAGCCATTTTTCTGAAAAAACTTCACCTATGTCCACACTGCAATCGTGTTCTTTCGAAAGAAAATCAAAAGAATGCAGGGGTTTTTCTGACACTGGTAAACCTCATTCTATGAGGAAGAACGCCTTTTCCAAAAGATCTAAAGTTTTACACTGTGTGTGGACACAGAAGAGGGAGTTTTTTCGAAAGAAGAGGCCGCCAGGAAAAAGCACAGGTGCCTTGGTGGCCATTCCGCCCATAGTAATCACAGCTTACATGCGAGAAAGCGTCCAATTAGTGTGGATGCTCTCTTTTGAAAAAGCAGATTGCTTTTTTGATGCACTTTTGAAGTGTGGACGCTCTCTTTCGGAAGACTTTTTTTGGAAGATCTCTTCCGAAAAAGTTTCTTTTGAAAGAA